ATGATCGAGCCTGATGATTTTGCTTGTTGACTCTCTACAAATTGAGCATATTGATTGGTTCGGTTGGCTATTAAATCGGACCCGTTGATTGCTCCGTTGGGCATCTGATCGAGYCTGCTGATTTGGCTCTCTGGCTTACTGGTAATTAAGCATGTTGAAGGGACTGATTATTCTCTGGAAATCGACTCGCCTGATTGGACCACTCTCCCTTATAAAACGGAACTTGTTAGAGTCAAAACAGATAACCCTCATGATCAGGCCCAATCTACATCTGGCTCTGACGCCAGAAAAGGGGGAAGTGCTCATTGAACAAAATTACTCAAGATAATTATGATCTGATAACGCTAGATTAAAGCGCTTCTGCGGGCAGGGGTAGCAGGAGATAATAAGCCCCAACACCCTAACTGTTGTTGAGGACCTCGGAAGTGGGCGGGCCGAGTGACAGGCGGCGTTGCCCCTGGCTTCAGCGAGCGGTAGGAGCCCCTCCCCGGGTTTCCTCACAACGTCACAGTGCCACATCAGCAGTGCCCCGCCATCATGACGGGCACAGCTCTGGGCATGCCAAGCCAACTGGCCAACGAGTCTCTTGCCGACTACAAACAGCGGTTCCAGGCTCAGCTCGCTCTGATCGAGGCTGAGGAACAGCGCCAGCTGGTAGCCGAGGCTGCCCGCCTACAGGCTGAAGCAGCGACAACAACTGAGAAGCAGCGGCTACAGACCGAAGCAGACGCAGATAGCCAGGCACGCCACAAGGAGGCCCAGGATCTGCTGCAGCGGCATGAAGCTGCCAGCATCGAAAGACTCAAGTTCTGGCACTTTGAACCATCCAACGGCGACGACGCGACACCGGAAGAGCAGCACAAGGAGTTCCTCTCCAAACTTGTGACATGGTTGTTGTACGCTTGCAACTACCAACGGTCCGAGCTAGAGAGACAGAACCAGGAACTGCCGCAACAGTACCAGGATCTGAAGACACAACACCAGGAGTTGGCGAACCTCCACCGGATGGTGCAGAGTCACGAGGATGCTACACGGGCACTCAATTCCCGTGTACTAGACCTGGAGCAAGCTGTACCAGGACCAGATGGTGGTGAGTCCAGCAATGCACCCTCTCACCGCCAACTGGAGCAACGCGTCAACCACGTCGTCGCAATGTTCGGCGACATCAGCACTTTCGCTGCGCCGACCACCATCAGCAATCAGCTGGATACTTTGAAGACCGAGGTCCAGCAACTGCAGTCGACGAACACGGATGGCAACAATCCAAAGCAATACAAAATGCCAACTTTTCAACTTGAGAAGTTCGACGACTACACGCATCAGGACCCGGTGCTCTGGTGGGAAGCTTTCACGACTCAACTTCGGATTCTGCCTGTCGCCAAGCACGCGTACATCGGCGCCCTGTTCATGAACTTAAAGGGCGGATGCCAGATCTGGTTAACCCACCTGGCAGCCACCCAYGGCGTCGACGTCGCAGATCTGAAGGACAAGGTCTCATGGGAAGAATTAACACGGCTGTGGAAGAAGCGGTTCATCGTCGACGACGCACCAACACTTGCCATCAACCGTCTCTTCACCATGACTCAAGGCAACACAGCAACACGTGACTGGCTCACGGAATGGCAGAAGATCGCGGCAACGCCCGATCTTGACTTACCATTTGCGCATTTGCGCCGTGAGCTTTACAACAGGTCATGCGCTGCATTGAGCCAGGCACTTGGTGATCGCGAGCAGTATGCAACTTTCGTCGATATTATTGACAAGGCGAGAGAGATCATTAAGACCAACTGGGCGGCGACACACGAGAAGTCAACGTGGCAGCCAACCTATGTGGAGAAGGTGAGAACTGGTCCGCGACAACAGCAGTTCGCTGCAGTCCAATTGAACAACACTGTGGAAGACCCGACAGCCACCCAAGCGTCACGTGAGGGAGATCAGGTGGCTGCTGTCCAGCCGCGAAGCAACAACAAACCTCGAGTGAACGGGAAGGCGAAACCAGCATCGCAGGCCGGAAACGGACAGCCGGCACCACCATGGGTCAAGTTCAACTTGACCGAGGCCGAGTACAAGTACCGCAACCGTTACGGCTGCTGTTACTGGTGCAACAACACCAAGCACAAGACCTCCCTTTGCCAGGATCAGGCCAAGGAGGATGTGCGGCCTCGTCTTAGCTCGGGAAACTGAGTTTCGCGGGAGGTGAGGCGACTCCACCTCCCACTCCGCCAGATTCGGCCGCCTTGCTAGCGGCCTCCTACACATCTGGGGAGGATGCAAATGTCGTAAGTTCTCGGTATTCTTACGAGGACTATGCTGTCCACTTGGTCCCACCGCTGGACCAACCGCTCCACGTGCAACAATCTATCGCATGCACGGTTTCATCACCATCGGCAACCGATTCGGCAGCTTTGCCGCCATCTACCGCTGGGGATTCAACGTCATGGTCAAGACTTGAAGAGCTCGACCCGTTGACATTTGCGGACTTCCAATGGATGCCCCTTCCCCGGTCTGGTCGATTGCCGAAACCGCATTGCAACGTGCTCAAGGCACAATTGCGGGATTACTTGCACACTGCAGTACCGACTCCGTTGATGGACGCCGGAGTAGAGGTTGTCGACCTTCACGCCTACATTGCGAAGATCGACCGCGAGTTCAAGACTCAATGGTACGACGACATCGACGCACCATTGCTATATGTACGCATTCAGATCGGAGAGGCGACCTGCAACGCTTTGATCGATTGCGGAGCATCTCGCAACTACATGAGTCAGGACTTCATGGTACGCGTCGGCCTTGGCCCACGAGTCCGAAGGAAGTCCCAGCCCATGCAAGTCACGTTGGCGGACGGTCACACGCACAAGTCAATCGACCGGTGCATTGATGACGTCCCAGTGTACTTTGCCCCTCACGCAAGTGAGGCGGTGTCCTTTGACATTCTGGACACCAAATTCGACATGATCTTGGGCATGTCATGGTTGCGAAGCGAGGATCACCCGGTGAACTTCTACCGCCGCAACGTTCATGTTCGTGATCGGAATGGAGTACTAGTCCCATGCACGGTAGCTCCTCCTCACCCTTCAGTCAGCTGGCACGTGGTATCCGCCGCAAGCATGCGAGCGTCGATCATCAGAGACGACATCGAGGAGATGGGGGTGTGTTTTCTCCACGCCCTCCCGCCCCATGACGCTTCACCGACGGACTCATTTTCGGATCCACGCATCACCGAGCTTCTCGACGCCTACAGCGACGTGTTCGAAGGCCCGCACGGAGTAGTACCGGATCGGCCCATCCGCCACGAGATCATCCTCGAGGACGGGGCCGTACCTCCGCGCGGGTGCATCTACCGAATGAGCGAGGAAGAGTTAAGTGTGCTTCGGGCACAACTCGACGACCTTCTGGAGAAAGGCTGGATTCGGCCTAGCTCATCGCCATAAGGTGCTCCTGTTCTCTTCGTCTGGAAGAAGAACAAGGATTTGCGGTTGTGCATCGATTATCGCAAGCTCAACGCGCAGACGATCAGGAACGCCGGCCCTCTCTCACGCATCGACGATCTTCTCGAGCGACCGGGCGGCACCAAGTTCTTCTCCAAGCTCGATCTCAAGGCAGGATATCACCAACTCGAGATTCGCAAGGAGGACCGCTACAAGACCGCGTTTAAGACGCGATATGGGCATTTCGAATGGCTGGTCATGCCATTTGGCCTTACGAATGCCCCGACCACTTTCCAAGCGGCTATGACAACGGAGTTCCGACACATGCTGGATCGATACGTACTTATCTACCTCGATGACATCTTGGTGTACAGCCGGAGTTTGGAGGAGCATGTGGAACACCTGCGCACCGTTTTGGAGCGGCTACGACAAGCCAAGTACAAAGCCAACTGCGACAAGTGCGAATTCGCGCGACAGGAGCTGGAGTACTTGGGACATTATGTGACGCCGCAAGGCATCCGTCCGCTTGCGGACAAGATCGAGGCCCTACGAGTATGGCCCGAGCCCACCAACACCACGGACGTTCGTTCATTCATGAGATTGGCGGGCTACTATCAGCGATTCATCACCGGATACTCGAGGATTGCTGCACCTATGACGAGATTACAATCGCCAAAGGTGCCATTCGTATTCGATGACGACGCACGCCGGTCATTCCAAGCACGTAAGAAGACTATGCTCATGGCACCCGTCCTTAGCATCTATGACCCCACCCCGCCGACGAGAGTGACTACGGACGCTTCCGGCTATGGCATTGGGGCAGTCTTGGAACAACACGACGGCGACGACTGGCACCCTGTGGAGTATTTCAGCCACAAAGCGCCTCCCATCGACTCGCTTGATGATGCAAGGAAGAAGGAGTTGCTCGCATTCGTCATGGCTCTCAAGCGATGGCAGCACTTCCTCCTTGGGCGTCGTAGGTTCATATGGGTTACGAGCAACAATCCATTGACCTACTACAAGACGCAGGACACGGTGAGCAGCACGATCGGACAATGGATGTACTTCATCGACCAATTTGACTTCACACCGAAACATCTTCCCGGCCTCTCAAATTGCGTAGCAGATGCACTCTCGCGAAGACCTGATCTTTGCGCTATGACACATCATGCCTTCGCATTTGACGAGGAGCTTCAACGACACTTCATCAGGGGCTACAAGTCCGATCCAGATTTCGCCACGCTATATGCGCAGCTATCTTCGGATCACCCACCGGCCAGCCACTATCGCATCGCCGATGGGTACTTGCTCCTGCACTCGCGGGGCAAGGACTTACTATGTGTCCCACGCGACCGCCGTCTTCGGACTCGCCTCCTCGGCGAGTATCATGATTCGCGACTCGCCGGCCATTTTGGAGTCAACCGCACTATTGCACGGCTTCGAC